CTGATGCTGATGCTGATGCTGATGCTGATGCTGATGCTGATGCTGATGGAGGAGTCCCGGGAGTTGGGGCTGCCGGAAGGAGAGAGGGAAGGAAAGCGCGGGGATATGTGGCCAAGACCGGCGACAGATGCTGTTGTCAAGCAGCCGAGCCCCCCTAGGGCGTCAGACCCGCAGAGCAGGCAGAGAGACGCGGCGTCTGCGAGATGAGCCTGCCTTCTCTGTCTGAGCCGGGAGGCTAAGCCGCGGGGCTTGGCAATTGGGAGAGGCAGGGGGTGGGATGGGGGGATGGGAAGCAAAGGGCACCCTCACCCTGACTCCTTCTCGTTCTGGGACATCTGGCCTCCTCGGGCTGGACCGACCTGGCAGGATGGCAGTGCAGGATGCAATTCCGGATGACAGCGATCTCCTGCGCCCCTCCTCTGCACCTAGAGTCCTGTTCCTGGGAGGAAAGAAAAAAGCTGCTGGTGGTGACAGATCCCTGCCCGCCGGGAGCTCCCAGTCTAGCTGGGGAGCTGAGACAGACAGGGAGAGGGGCTAGAGAGCAGGATATATGGTCCTGCTTAAATTGCGGTCTTTTCATCTATCCACCTCCCTCCCCTCTCCCTCCTCCCTTCCTCCCTTTCCCTCTTCCCCCCTCCCTTTCTGCACATACTCAATTTTACCACCTCTGTACTTGTGCTCATTGAACGAGGCCTTTCCCCCTCCTCAACCTTCAAAATGGAGGCTTCTCTGACCAACACAGCCAACGCTGATCTCTGAATCATAGTATGTGGGAGACGCAAGGGACTCCCGCCCCGCCCCCACTCCACCCCCACCCTCCTCACACGGGGAATCACAAGAACAGGAAGCATAGTCCAGCCCCCTCGATTTACAGACGAGAAACTGGATGGTTAAGAAAGGTTCAGTGGCTTGAGGAGGGTCACACAGCAAGTAGACCTTGGCCTCAACCACTGATCTATCGATTCCAGTATCCAAGCCCGAATCAATGTGCCACAAGGGAAAGGTTGCTGTATTTGGAGGCAGGGGGTTCACATCCCGTCCCTGTTGCTTACTATCTGTGTGACCTTGGACGAGTCATTTAATTTCTCTGAGTTGCCTCAATTTCCTCAGCTCCCAGAAGGGGAGGTTGGAGCCTAAGGTCATTTCTGGCTTCCAGTGTCTGATTTGCTACCTCCTGTTGTGGGTGGATGGATTCTATGCCATGGTCCAGCTGTGGTTTTCTAATCATGTTATTTTTTGATTCCTCAACCAGAGTGTGAGATCCCAGGGGGCAAGGACTGGTCCAGGGGTGGGGAATCTGTGGCCTTCTAGGCCCTCAAGTGCAGCCCTTCAATTGAATCCAATGGATTCCTAAGGTTCCCCATCCCTGGACTAGTCTATGCTTTCATTTACTGAACTCCTACTATGTGCTAGATGCTATAGTCAGAATTTCTGGGATATAAAAATAAGCAAAACATAATCCCGGCCTTCAAGGAGTTTGTAAGAGGAAGAATAAGTTTATCATTTACAAAAGGCTTCACATTTCTTATTTTTTTAATAAATATTTGTTGAGCTGCTTATAAATGCCAAGGGTTCATATTGGACTTCCAATAAGCAGCAGAGAGGAAGGATTACCGTGTGAGGCAGGTTAGTGGTCTAGAATGCCTTCCTGAAGGTTTGTAGGAGCCCAGGGGCCAAGGAGTTAGAGGACACTGAGGTTCAGAGAGGTCATACAGGTCCCAGGTGCTCTGGGAATGAAAATGAAATCTGTCATATGGGGCTTAGTGGAGTAGGTGAGCAGATAAAGAGAGAACAGGAGAGAGGAGTGCCCAATGTAGCCCTCACCCACAACCAGGGCCACGTGGAGAATGAATTCTGATCAACTTGTGCACAGAGTATTCAAATCTCAGAAATGGAAGGAACCTCTGATGGAACAATAAGAGAAAGGAAAGTGCCAGATAATGAACTGGCCTTGGAGATGGAAAGCTGAGTTCAAGACTTATCAAACACTAGCTGTGTGTCCCTGGGCAGAGCTTATTAGCGTCCAGACCATTCTTAGAATGTAAGGCAGTTGGCATCTAAATTAGTAGAGAAGGTAAACCCCTAATGATAAAAATCACAGATCTGAACCAAAAAAAAATTATTGCTTCCTTTTCTTTTTTAAGCTGCAATCATTTTTTAATATGATCTCCCCTCCGTCACGCCCCCTCCACACCTCTCACTGATCCCTCATCCTAAAAGAAAAACAGTTGAGGAAAACTAAGCAATAAATTAATGCCCTCTGGACAACACATGCAATGTTTTGCCCTTGTCCACCCCCACCCCTCCAGTGAGAGGAGTCGAGTATGTTTCATTATCTCCATGAAATAAATGATCATTTATTTCTTTTAAACTAAACTGGGCTGTTTTTGAGTATTGTTTTCCTTTACATAGTTATTATTATTAGTGTAGAGTGTTCCAGTTCTATTTTCTTTGCTCTGCTCAGTTCAGGTAAGTCTTACTAGATTCCTTTGAATTGTAATATTAGGATAGGGACTGGACCTAGGGACTCCTAGGGACTATTTACTTATGGAACTCCCAGATGTGGAAGCTCCTTCTTTAGGTGCAGGTCAGTACCTTTTAAGCTGGAGATGGTGAATTTATTTAAATTTTTTTGATAATTATATTTATCAAATATTTATATAACTAGTTTTCCTTTCTCATCCTCTGTATTTTATTTGATGCATTTAAAAAACATAATTCTGAAAAGGCAGCCATGAGCTTCACCAGAAGGAGTCTATGACCAAAAAAAAAAAAAAAGATTCAGATTCCTGGTCCTAGAGGGCTGCCTGGAGGCACAGAGAGGTTAAATGATTCACCCAGGGTCACACAGCCAGTTATGTGTAACAGGCAGGCTTGTACCTAAGTTTTTCTGACTTGGAAGCTAGTCTTTCATTATGCTATACTGCCTTGTTCCTGTAATGTATATTATAATATGTATATATATAATATTATACATACATATATCTCACACATAGTTCCCTGCCTTATTCCGTATACCTTTTTAAAACTGCATTTTTGTCCAATTAATAACTCCTACACTTCATTTTATTATATATATAATATGTAATACATATACTATTATATATAATTCATTATATGTATAAATTTTTAAGATTGCATTTTGGTCCAATTAATAACTCCTGCATTTTATTTATTTGATATTACACACATATAATATGCAATATATATATATATAGTATTTATAGTTAAAATTCATTACATATATGGATTTTTTAAATTGCATTTTTGGGTCTAAGTAAATAACTCCTACCTTTTATTTGGTTATGTATAGATGTATATATTTATACACATATATAATGTACTCTTTATGTGTAAAATTCATTATATGTATGACTTTTTAAAAATTGCATTTTGGTCCAATTAGTAACTTCTACACTTTATTTGATTTTGTATGTATGTAATAAACACACTATTATAAGAATTTAAAAATTTTTACTTTTTGATCCAATTAATAACTCCTACATGTATAAATATGTATAAATGTATATATGTATAAATCATATATATGGTAGATGTATACAGTATATGCTATTAAATGTACAAAATTCATTCTACATGAAATTTTAAAATGAGATTTTTATCCAATTAATAACTCGTGCACTTTATTTGATTTTGCAATAACATAACATACACTATTATATATGTTTGTATAACGCCTTCCCCCATATGTACTAAATAGCTGTGCATTTTAAAAGGTTTCCATCATATCAGATTTTCCTTTTAAGACACAACCAGTCCTGAGAGTAGTCTCTCCCCTCCCCCTACCCCCCCCTCCGGCCCCCGACCCAGGTCTGGAGGCCTGGGATCCCTGGGGATCTGGGTGCATCCCCTTAAGCACCTTCACGGTCCGGGAGGGCGCAGACACACCCCCACCTTGCAGCGGGCTGCCCCAGCCAGGTCCTCCCGGGCTAGAGGGAGCACGCAGGCAGCCAGAAGGTTGCGCCGTGGAAGCAGCTTCTCATAGCTCCTCCTCTTCCCCTGGCCCGGGCTGGGGCTCCTGGATGACGTCACCGACCAGGAAGCCGCCGGCCTCTGGTGGGGAGGGAGGCTGGTGCCCCTGGGCAGGGCTGCACCCAGGTGCAAAGGCTGGAAGACAGGAGAAGCGGGGAGGGACTCAGGGCGTGGGTGGCCCCCTGGGTGGCGTGCACGGGAGGGACCTCAGCTTTCTGCTTTCTTTTTTTTCCTTTCTCCAGGAAGGTGCCCACGTCCCTGTCTAGGGGGGCTGAGACCCTGCTGGACCGTCGCCGGGCTGATGTCGGGCGCGTGACTGTCAGCATCTCCCGCCTGCTCCCTGCCCTTTGCCTAGCAACAGCAGAGGCAAGTGGGTCGTGCCCATCAGGGCGGGCTGGGAGCAGCCGCTACGCCGGGCATCATGTTCAGCAGGTCTGGCTACCGGGCCCTGCCCTTGGGCGACTTTGACCGTTTCCAGCAATCCAGCCTGGGTATCTACGGCTCCAAGCAGGGCTTCTTCCCCACCATTCTGGGGCGAGACCGGCTGAGCCTGGGGCAAGATGTGGGTGAGTGACAGGAGAGGGGAGGGGGACGTGCCCTCATTTGCACCCACATCAGCTCCCCCCAAAGGGCTGTGAGGGGCAGGGGTGGTTACTGGCCTCCCTTCAGCCCATGGCAAGTCAGACTGAGCTTTAGGCCTGGGACCTGGTCTAGCCTAGCCACCAAGCAGAGCTGGGTGAACTTGGAGACAGGAAAACTTGGGTTCCAATCCAGCTTTGGATGCTTACTATCTGTATGCCCCTAGGAAAGTCACTTAATCTCTCCCAGCCTCAGTTTCTTCATCTGTAAAATGAGGATAGTAATAACTGCCACACTTAAATCACAGCGTTGTCATAAAGCCCAAATGAGGTAATATAACTTTATCATTACTTGCCCAGGGTATGAGGGCAGGATCCATCTTGTTTAGAAAATCCTCACCCCAGGGTGGCTTTCTTAGGGTATTCCCCTGGGAGGGCTTAGAATGAGCATGGGGATCATCAGGGCAGAACTGGAAAGGACTTTAGGTTGTCCACTCCAACACTCCCATTTTATAGCTGAGGAGACTGAGGCCTGCCAGGGTTATGCATGTAGTTATCCAAGGTGGGATATGAACCCAGTTCTTCTGACTCCAGAGCTAGACTGTGTACTAGTGAAGCTTGCCTCCATATACAGGCTGTTCCCCATTTCTGAAGCTTCTCGCTGTCCTCGCCTCCCTTTCTGGGATCCTTACTTTTCCTCACAGCTTAGCTAAAGTACCAACTCTTCTGAGAAATGGTTCTTCTCACATCCTAAATTATTTCATATTTACTTACCTATATTTATATTGTTTTCCCCCAGTAAGCTTCCTGAGGGCAGGGACTGTTTTTTGCTTCGGTTTTTTTTTGGGGGGGGGGAGGTGTTGTATTCCTAGCATTTAGCCTAATACTTGGCACTATGATCTATAAATGCTCATTGGATTAGTTTGAATTAAAGTCGGATTTAGCAGGGGGTATTGTACGATGAATATTGAAGTCAGAGTACCTCCAATCAGGAAGACCTGAATTCACATCTGGCCTCAGGCACTTACTGGCTGTATGACCTTGGGCAAGTCACTTAACCTCTGTTTGCCTCAGTTTCCTTAACTGTAAAATGGGGATAATAATGACACCTACCTCCTTGGGTTGTTGTGAGAATAAAGTGAAACAGTGCCTGGTAAGAGCTGTATAAATTGCTAGCTATTTTTATTACTATTATCATTATTGTTGTTATTACCTATATTGAAATTTCCCCCTCTGTATGACCTCAAATTGCTTAACTTCACCCTATCTCAGTTTCCTCATCTGAAAAGTAAGGGGAGGTTGCATTAGATAACCTTGAAGGTCCCTTCCACTTCCAAATCAGTAATGTCTAGGCCCGTCCATTTTTCTGTGCAGGATGGGGCTCTGCAGAGCTATAGTGATGAATCGTACAAGGCCTTGGGAAAACTGTATTTATTTTTAGCTCCTCTTATAACTCGTGGGAACTGTGCCTCTACCTCTAGTAATATCAATCACCCCCCATGTCTGTAGATCCCATTTTAAACTTTCTCAAGGACTCTCCTGTATATTATCTGATTTGATACTTACCACATCCTCCTGTGGTATGCAGGGCAGGAATTATCATGGCTGTTTTACAAATCGGGAGACTGAGTCTCTTAAAGAGAACCTGACAAGCTCAGGGGATTTGTAGAAGGAGAAGAGTTAAAATCTAGAAATGGTTTAAGAACATTATTCTCATTTCCCAGATGAAGATACTGAGGTCCAGAGCTTGTGAGTCAGGAGTAAAAACTTGGACCCATCCAGCAATGCTGTATTTGCTGGGCTGCCCTGTCCTTTGCCAGAGAAGACTTAGTAAGCCCAGTGTTACTGAACTCACTTCCTAAAATGTGGTTTGTCCTAAAACCACTCCTCAACTTTCAATGGCTCCCAATTACCTTCAGGAAAAAAATCCGAACTCCTTACTTTAACATTTGGTCCAGATCTTCCCCATCTAGCCTTACAGAATCACAGAATTAGAGGGTTAGGGGGAACCTCCGTGGCCAACAAATCCACAAAAGGGATCCCCACTATAATATACTTGACAGGTATTCATGGAGCATCTGCCTCCAAGCAGAGCAAATCCAATCCTTCCTTCACTGGGCCGTCTTCTCTTTCCCAAGGTATACATGCCCAGCTCCCCATTTTATATGGCATCAGGGTCTTTCACCATCCTAGATGCCTTTCCCCCAGACATTTTCTAGCTTGTTGATGTCCTTAAACCAAATCACCCAGAATTGAACACAGCACTCCAGATTGGGTCTAACAAGCCTACGGTTAGGCTCAAAGTATGACCTTCTTGATATAGTCCAAGATTGTATCATCCTTTGGGACTGATACTGATTGATTCAGAACAGCCGCTGTGAAGTCATGCCCGCCTCCATCTTATACTGGTGAAGTTGAGTTTTGGCCTCCAATTGCAAGACTACGTTTTCCTTTGTTGAATTTCATCTTGTTAGATTTATCCCAGTGTTCTAGCCTGTCAAGATACTTTTGGATTCTGATTCTTATATCCACTGTGTCATCTATCATCATTGTGCCATCTGTGGATATGATGAGTATACCTTCATTCAAGGCATTAATGAGAAATGTTAAGCAGCACAGGGCCAAGTGCAGATACTCAACTGGAGATTTCCTGCCATGTTGACTGTGAACGATTCATAACCACTCTTTGAATAAAACCATCCAGTGAGTTCTGTAGCAATTGAAATTAAGGTAAACTGAGGCACAAAGTTCCAAGCATGTTCAGTGTATTGGTAAGGCTAGCAGTTACCAATAAAAGGGGTCTTTAGTTCCTCAGCAAGACAAAAAGACCCCAGATGAGGGTGTATATCATTTTTACAGACAAGAGGAGGAGCATGGAAAAACTGGAAGGCAGCATCATAGATGGGGAAGACAATATGATTGGTTACAAAGTCTGAAGCATCACAGGCATGGAGAACGATATGATTGGCTGGAAATCAGCAATGTGGGGCTAGCAACAATCCCTCCTTCCATCTAAGAAATTTTGATTGATATAGTCCACTTACAAGAATGACTAATGGTATAGGGATAACAGATTTCCTCTGATCGGTCAAGGATGGCTAGTGGTATAGAGATAACTGGTTTCATTTCATGAAAGTGATTTATAGGGAAACTGAACTTTTAAACTTAACTCAGAGACAAAGCAGTGTGACTTAGAGGGTTATACACAATGTCGTGGTGATACCAAACAGAATCAATTACAGAAATGGAGATAATATCAATTTAATTTTCTCGGTTTTGAATTCATCTGATTGTATCATCATCTAATCTCTATCTCTCTTTTCCACAGAAATAATGAGATGCTTTATCAAAAAGCATTGCTAAGATTAGGTTAACTCTGTCATCTACTAATTTAATCATTTAAATGAACTTATTTAATAATAGCATTCCTCTCATCTACTAGTTTAATCATTCAAGGGAGCTTAGTGCGCCATACTTCTTCTTGATGAAGCCTTGCTGGCTCTTGTAATCACTGCTTTCCTTATTAGTTATTCTTTAGCCCTCGTGTTAATTATTCTTTTTAGATACTTTTCCAGGAATCGAGATGAAGCTCCTTGGCCATATGATTTCAGACTCTTTTCTCTTTCCTTCTTTGAAAACTGGAACATTTGCCCTTCTCCAGACCCATGGTATTTCTCCAGTTTTCCATGATCTCTTTCATCTGTCCTTGACAGCAGCTCAGCATTCATTTGTGCCTGTTCTTTCCGCACCTGAGGATGTAGTTCACCTGGGCCAGGTGACTTGAATTCATCAAGGGTAGTTAGGTACTTTCTGACCATCCCCTTAATCATCTTAGCTGTCAACTCCCCAGTAGTCATTTTGGGTCTTCCATTTCCCATGTAAAGGTGTATTTTCCTTTGCTGAGAAAACAGAAATAAAGTAAGATTTGAGCAGTTCTGCCTTCTTTCTGTTGTAAATTCTCATCATATAATTCAGCTCTATCAAAAGCCCCTATCCGTTCTTTGATCCTTCCCTTTCTCCCAATGTAGCTATTACACTTCATTTTTGTGATTCTTAGCTTCCTTTGACAGTGTCAGCTCATTCTGAGCTTTTACATTACTGGCACCATTTTTACAGGACTGTGCCATGATGATACTCATTTTCCGTTATCTGAGAATGAACTACCTGTTACTTTGTTCCCATCTTCTGTGCATTTCTTTTAAAAACCTAAGTTGGTTGGAAAGTTCCCTGTGTACCCACATTGGTCTCTTTAGATGAATCCTATTTTTCCTCTTTGATGGAATCGTTTCCTTTTCTGTCTTCAGAATTTAATTCTCCAATCCATCCCTCCTGGGCAGGTTTTACTCAAAGCATTTTACTCTATGGAGTCTTTCTTTTTAACCATTTGAAATCTGCTTTCCTCAAACACAGGGTATCTATTGGCCTATGTGCTGATTTCTTTTCTTTTCTTTTTTTTTTTTTTTTTGATTTCTTCTTTTTTGTCACTCCAGGATGAAATAATCATTTCCCCCACGCTTCCCGTCATTTCTGCCCCAGCAACCAGCTCTTCCCTCTTAGTGAGAATTGTATTCAGAATAGAATTCCTTCATTTGGTTCCTTCACCTGCTTAAAGATGAAATTGTCAGTAGAGTTGTCAAGAAGTCATTAGCTTCTCTGCTTTTGTCAGAGAGAGCTCCAGCAATATCTGAAAAATCAGTTTCCTGTAACTATTGTACTGTATTGTGTTTCTATGTCAGGCTGGTGATCTATTTCCAAAATTCACCTAGCTATTTTTTTTTCTTCAGGTGGTTTGTAGGATTCTCCAATGACAGAATCACTTTTTCCTCTCTCCTTTTACCTTTACCGTAATATTCTCCATTATTCTTCCCTTTTTTGGTTCCTGGATTTCCCATAAATATGCCTTGTTAATAACCAGTGTTCCCTCTCTTCCTCCTTTTACAAACCTACGCTGTTTCTTTTGGGCCATGGACCAGTCATGGATTTCATCC